GGGGGGGGGGGGGGGGAGGAAGCCTGCCTTTTACTTTCCCTCTTGAAATTGAGACACTTTCACTTTTGGATTACAATATTAGAATGGCAACCATCAGAAAAGCAGCAAAAACAGGAGAAAGGAGGAGGTGATAGTTAGAGCAACCTGCAGAAAAAGGAATTACACTAGAATTGCTTCAGAAAATGTTTGAGGAGTTAGGCAAAAAGTTGTCTGAATTACTTAATACTAAATTGGCAGCTTTTGAAGGGAAGATGGATGAAAGACTTGTAAAGATGAAAGAGGAGATGAAAGAAGAAGTTAAGACGATGGAAAACTCTGTAAAACAGATGACTAGAGACATAAAACAAATTAATGCTAAGTGGAAATTTTGGAAAGTAAGACAGAAGTTATAGAGAGATGGAAAGAGATTCAGATAATCTGGCATTATTGGAGGTGAGAGAGAAGGAATTTTGCTTGAGATTCAGAGTGATCCCGGGTGAAGACATTAGTGAAAAGGTAATTAAAGCTTTATGGATTTTTTTGAAATGGGATGAAGAGGCTACTGAGGCAGAACTTGACAAAGTTTATAGAATAAATACAAGTTCTGTGAAATTAAGAAAAGTTCCAAGGGATGTCTTGGTGTGCTTTGTCAGGAAGAAGATAAGAGACCAAGTTCTGCAGCAGCATTTTAATACAAGATGGATTGATAATGCAGATGTAATTGTGCTTAAAGAAATTCTGATTAGAATGCTGCATTAAGAGAAAAGAGTACTTCTTTCTTACTGATAGATTTCAACAGAAAAAGATTCCATTTTGATAGGACAAACTGGAAGGAGTGATTTTTACTTTCAAACAGCAGAGGTTTTGACTGAATTCTGTGCAGAAAGTGAGAGATTGTCTAGAAAAATCAAAGAAGAACTGGAGACAATACAAATGGATAAGACTACACAAAAACTTCAGCAGGTGCAACAGGAAAGGGATGATACTGCATTAGGTGCTACACGTACTGACTTTTTTAAAATTTTGGCCTGATTATAGATTACAAATGCTTAACATTAAATGGAGCAAATGCTCCTCAAAAGAGGGGGAAAAAATCATTATTTGAAAAAAATTAAAACAAGATATAATTTGCTTACAAGAAATGCATATTAGAAAAAAGATATAAAATATTTGACTTACAAAAATTTGGGTGAAGAATTTATCTCAGCAGGAACAAGAAGAAGAAGGAGGAGTAGGAGAAGGGGAAGGAGAAGGAGGAGAGCAGTAAAGAAAAGAAAAGAGAAAAGAAAATCTGTTTTGTATATATACCCCTAACTACAACCATATTGCAAAAAGAATTAGTAATAAAAGAACGTAAAAAGAAGCTAAATGAATATTTGAATAACAACTTGGGTAAAGGAACAGATTTTAAAATTGTTTGGGATGTTAGTAAAGCAGTGATGAGGGGTTACTTCATTTAATACAACTGGGAACTTAAAAGGAAACATCAAGAGAAAAAAAGATAGTTTACTACAAACACCAACAGATACTGATATCCTGCACCAAATTAAGCTTCTACAACAGCAATTATCTATGTTAACTATAAAAGAAATAGAGACAAAGTTAAAGTTTACAAAACAAAAATATTTTGAATTTGCAAATAAACCAGGGAGATGGCTTGCATATAAGCTGAGAAAGGAGAAAGACAAGAAAATGATAATGAAAATACAAGCAGGAAATGCTACATTCACAGATAATGTAAGCATCCAAAAATCTTTTCGTAACTTATTTCAAATCTGTACAAAAGACAAGAAGTTTCATTAAATCATATTGACACATATCTAAAAAACCCCAACATTTACCAAAACTCTCACAATCTCAAAAACAAATTATAAACAATTCTGTGACTACTTTTGAAATATCAGAAGCTATCAAAAAGGCTAAAATAGGGAAATCCCCTGGACCAGATGTATTAACAAGTTCTTATTATAAATGTTTTGAAGATGAACTGTTATTACCATTTAAGCGGGTGATGAACTCTATTCTAGGGGGCTCAGCAATACCAGAGACTTGGAAGGAAGCTAATATAATGTTATTGCCAAAAGAGGGTCAGGATCCAACTATGACTAAAAACTACAGTCCGATCTCTTTGTTAAATAACGATTATAAGCTCTTTACATCAATATTAGCAGAGAGATTGAAAAAGATTTTATCAGGCTTTATATATGAAGATCAATGTGGCTTCTTACCTAAAAGACAACTGAGAGACAATGTAAGTATTGTATTAGGTATAATAGAATACTTACAACATCAGAATGAAAAGCAAGCAGCACTGATTTTTTTGGATGCAGAGAAAGCTTTTGATAATTGGAACTGATTGTTCCTGTTTAAAGTTTTGGAAGATATGGACTTTGGCAAGAATTCTGCAAGGGATTAAATTGATACATGCTTCCCAAAAGGCAAGTATTATTGTTAACGATGAATTTACAAAACCATGTGAGATACAAAAGGAGACAAGACAGGGTTGTCCCCTGTCTCCTCTACTTTTAATTAGTCTTGGAAGTGTTTAATAGAGATATTAGACAAGATGTGAATATTAAGGGTTTACAAATAAAAAAAAAAAGTCTTTAAATTAAGAGCCTTTGCAGGTGATTTAGTTTTGATTTTACAGGAACCTCAAAATGGAATTGAATGTTTAATGGAGAAATTGAAAGATTTTGGTGCACTTGCTGGATTTAAGGTAAATAGACAAAAAACAAAGATATTGGTTAAGAATATAAGTTTCGTTGTGAACCGCCCAGAGTCCCTCCTTGTGGGGGAGTTGGGCGGTGATATAAATTTGACATATAAATAAATATAAAAAAATATGCCTATGAAAGATCAAGAAATATTGATGAAGAAGTCTGGCTTTAAAATTGAAAAAATGGTTAAGTATCTGGGAGTTACATTGACCAATATGAATTGTATGCTATATCAAAATAATTATGTCAAAGTCTGGAATGATATTAAAATGGATCTATTAAGATGGGTTAAATTGCAACTGTCACTGTTAGGTAGAATCTCAGTAATTAAAAAGAATGTTTTACCTAGAATGCTTTTTCTATTTCAGACAATAT